AGCGATCCGCGTACGAGGTACTGAAGTCGATCATGATAACTAGAATAAATGATTCTCATTAAATAATAGTAGATTTATAAATTCCAAGTTAAAGCAGACCTTCACACCAGACCAAAAAGAAACGAAAGGAAACTTTGTATATGGTGATAACTCGTGGTAGGGCCACGCAACAGTGTTCGCTGTTGCACGGATGGGCAGGTCGGTCCGGGTTCGTACCACGACCTAACAGAAGAGCGCGTGACATTTCATGCTTGGCTTGGCGATGAGATGCAAATTAAGTCTATATGAATGTTCTTTAGAAATTAACAAAATTATCGTAAAAAAATTAGAGAAAGTGGATAGATTTCGATGTTTTCGCGGCATGAGGTCATCCATCACTCGCTTAACTTAGTTGGTAAAGCGTCTGGGCGTGTGTTCCGCAAGAGGCATGTTCGAATACCGCAGCGCCGCGTCCTTGTTATTTTTACTTAATTCACATTTTAAGTTTCCATCTTGAGAAACTAGTACTAGAAATAAAAATTGTTTCGAGCACTTATCCTTTCCTAATCTAACGCCCGATTTCTGAAACATTGATCATCGTAGAAATTAACTAATCAGATGTCAAATGTCATGTTGAGTTGCCAAATGGCTTGTTAAACTCTCTGATTTGATCAACATGGTCTTCTTAATGATCAGAAAGTTCTATTTATACGATGATCAGTGTTTGGGAAACCGGGCGTAAATATACATAGTTTAAGTTTTGTTAGACAATTTAATATTTTTTAGTTTCGAATTTGGATGGCGGTGGTTTATGTAGTTGTGTTGTTTACAAAACGCCTCAAAAACGCATGATAACCTCACTCGGTAGAAGGGGCAACGCTATAAAAAATAATGGAAAAGAAAGAGACAACAAAAAAGTGTGGCACGCGATCCGTGCGGATGGACAATTCAAATGGCGCGTATTGTCAATACAACGGACCTTTAGAGAAAAAATCTCAAGACCCAGGCTCGGGTCGGTCTATTCCGGGATTAAGGAAGGAACGCGACAGCTGTTACGGTTGCCGGGACTTTTTTCTACAGAGATACAATATTATTAAATTTGGCTTGTTTAGGATTACGTGATAAGTACAAACTGCACACACAAGTTAAAAATATTCGTCTGTGTTATTTTTTAAAGCATCTCATGAACCTAATGAGAATTAGTACATTTAGACACGCTTAACAGATAAAAAACACCACATCTGCCGTAATCGGAACTAAACAAGATTACATTGCGCCGATTCTCAAATTTACATTTGTCTACAAATTTACATCTTCGCTCCATAACGAATAATTAATCATAAATTAATTTTTATGTTCACTCAGAGATCATAAAGCTATAGAGATATACAGATATGGAGCTTGCCATTGTAAGTATTACCCACGTGGAAAGTTCGGAGAACGGAGTACTCATTGGCGCATCCAAACTCAAATGTACTAAGACAATATTACACTCATATAAATAACAGCATTTATCACTTACGGCGACATCTTCACTTGCCAACAAGCGGTATTGCAATTGATCTTCAAACGGTTCCAGATAAAACAAAGCTCTAATACCCTCGTCAAAATGAGGAGTATTCGTCTAGGCTTAGGTTACTGTAGATAAGGAATTATCAATTTTGTAACAGTTCCCATAATATAAGGTAATGACGACACGCAAGACTTATTAAGCTCGAAGCACGATTTATCTTTAACTCTGATTCACGAGCTGTCGCCTGCTCGCCTCATCTTGTGAAAGGGAGCGCTACCAGAGGGCATGGCGGTGCGCACCTGCCCCCACACCTGCCGATTTGCGATTACTCACGCGATGCATCTTCCCGCAACGAATGAATCAGAAACTTATCGCGCGCGTTTCTGTTAATAAACGAGTTATTGGTAAGGTAAGAGGTGTCTGAGCACGGGTCCGTATTCCGATACGAGATAGTTCCGTATGAGGCTTCAATTTTATTAGCATTGATTTAAATTTTTATCTGTCGTAGCAGAAAACGAACGCTGCCGGAACCATGTAAATGGAAAATTCAATTTACAGAAAAATTCTATAGATTTAAATTATCGGAAGAAACGACATACACATGCATACTCAATCTCAATTTGAGACGCTTTAATTCAAAAGATCGTAACGTTATTATTACTATCTTTTGAATTAGAAATTAATTCAAAATTTGTTTACCCTCATATTAAAAGAGAATTATATTGAGGGCTCCGAATGTGACCTTCAGTAATCTATATATTTAACACGTGAAGCAAAACCTTCGTACCCACTTCACGAAAATTGCGCGGACCGAGTATGAAATTTAATAGAGGAGTGCCGAATGCTATATAATATTTTTTTAATTATGCATACAACTACATTAAATCGATAAAAAAAACTTTATACACACTGAAATGTATAATTAATTATGGTCGAATATTGACCATTAGGCGACCACTAGTAAAAAAACAAAAAGAGACAAAAATTAAAATCTATTTCATTTATTGTAAAGAATAACATATTTTATTTATTTTATGAAGAAAGTTGGCTATGTGGACCCAATGCATCACACTATTATATTGTACCACCAACTTAGAACACGACCACGGTTGGGAAGGAAACCATTTGGGAACTGAAAAACTGAAAGACTTTCAATACACTGTCAACATAATTATGCTGTGAATTCATGCCATCAAAACCTCATCAATTCGAAGCTAAAGTATTTAACACCGATATCTGCCGATGCGGACGAAACTAAATGTGAGTCGCGATAAAATCCGTAAAAATATTTATTGAAATTTCAATTGATGTCTTGCGACAAAGGAGCCAAAGCCCTGGTCGTAAAAGACAGTTTGGAAACCGGCATAACTTGTAGTAGACGAACGTTTCTTATTCGTATGTCAAACTCAAACCGCACGCGATTAGTCTGCACAGAGGACGCGTTTGGCAAGCAAAGTAAAATTAAATTACACATATTATGTTGCATATGTAAAAAAAAAATATATAAAATTAAATTACACATATGCAACATAGTATGTGTAATTTAATTTTTCACTTGTACAATTTAAATAATACAAGGTGTCAATTTAAATTAGTGTGACATAAATGTTATATAGCGTGTCGTTACAACCGTGACAATTAATGAACACACGTCTAACGCTACTTGCCAATAATCATAAAAAAATATAAAACGTTAAAAAAATCCATAATTAAAAGAAATATTTTTCAAACAAACTAATTAAATAAAAAAGAAACAAAATTTGCAACAACCTATACAACTACAACTGACTGATTCATACATTCAGAGACTTTTTCATTTGTTGCCACAGCGTCGCATTACAAGTCTCTCCTTCTAACAGTATGTTTCATCTCTTTTAAATTCATTCAACCCATTCATATGCTTTAAAAAAAAAAAGGAGATTCATTTAAAATACAGAAAGGTGTAAGACAAGGAGATCCTCTGTCTCCAAAACTTTTCTCCGCTGTTTTGGAGATGATCTTCAGAAGCTTTGAATGGGAAAAGCTGGGTCTAAATATCGACGGCCGCACACTAACACACTTAAGATTTGCAGATGATATTGTGTTATTTGCAAAATCACCAGGAGACCTCAATAGAATGTTAAACGAACTAGCATCTGAGAGTGAAAAAGTAGGACTAAAATTAAACCCCCAAAAAACAAAAGTAATGACCAATGGAAATAAAATAAGCATAAATATAGGCGAGTCACAGATAAGTTATGTTGAAGAATATATTTACCTTGGACAGCTGATATCACCTTCAGATAACATAAACAAAGAAATCAAGAGAAGGATAGCAAACAGTTGGAAAAGGTATTGGGGTCTAAGGGAAGTAATGAAAGACAAAAACCTACATATAACAACAAAGAGCAAATTATTCAATGTCTGCATTCTACCAATGTTAATTTATGGAAGCCAAACATGGGCCATTACAAAAAACTCAACCAACAGAATTGCTAGTTGCCAACGAGCAATGGAGAGAAGCATGCTAGGAGTAAAGAGAGGGAATAAAATAAGAAACACTATCATTAGGAAAAAAAACCAAGATACAGGATGTAACTATAAAAATAAAAAGGCTAAAATGGATGTGGTCGGGACATATGATCAGAGGAAAGGACAAATGGAGTAAAACAGTTACGCAGTGGTACCCAAGGCAAGGAAAAAGGAAAAGAGGTAGACAACAAAAAAGATGGGACGATGATATCAGGCAGGTTGTAGGCATAACATGGACTAGAGTAGCCAGAGATAGATCAGAATGGAGTAGGTTGGAGGAGGCCTTTGCCAACTGGCAAACGGACTTTCAGGAGATAAAGAAGCACCAAATACACGAATTTTAATAATTTAATTAGTTGGTAGTAAGTTATTGTGCAGTAGTTTAAGTAACAAATGTATCCTTAGTCCGAATAAAAGGCTTTATTATTATATTTATTATAATTAATTAATTTTATCATTTGAACTTATCCCAAAAAGTGCGTGATTTATGGGAAACTCATTTATTTTACGCGCGATCATTCATAACTAATACGCACACAAGTTCGTTTCAAAAGTATACGACGGACGCATTTATGAATGACTTCCGCATTGTTAACAAGTTCTGTTTTTTTTAGGGAATAGAATGGCAATTTTTTGAAAAAAAAGTTCTGTTTTTATTCCAATAAAATAACGGAGGTATGGCCACGTAGCAGCCTCAGCTGTTGCACAAATGGGCAGTACCACGACCTCACAGAAGACCGGTGTCAAGTGGAAGTATAATACTTTCGCGTTTCATCTGGTGAGTGTGGTGGCCGGAGCCTAATTTTCAAAAGGTTATCAATGCATCTGGAACCCTCGGGTGTAGCAAATGTCCATGGGTGGCGGTATTCACTTAACATCAGGTGAACCGCCTGCTCGCTTGGCAACTTTTCACATAAAAAGTCTGAACCGCCTGTGTGAAATTGGCACCTTTAAAAAAGCCACCCTGTACACGACACGCTGTACAGCCGACACTCACCTGAGCAGGCCGTTGTGGGGCGCCCTGAGCGGGGCGTGGGGCGCTTGGGGGGCGTGGGGCGCTTGGGGGGCGGCGAGGGCGGGGGGCGGCGCCGGGTCGAAGAGGGCGTCGCAGTGCTCGAGCAGCGTCTCGACCAGCACGTTGCAGAACTTGAGCTCCAGGATGGAGGCGACCGTCTCGCGCTCGGGGCGCAGCAGCGTGGGCCCGAAGCACACCGCCAGGTTGGACGCCGTCATCAGGTTCTTCTCGCTCTTCGCCGCCACGCTGAGCGACAGAGGGGCCTTATTATGGCCATAATGGTTCGAAACATAATAATAATCGAAGGTGCCATTGGAATTAAAAATTATTGTTTCAATCGCTCATCTAATGTATAAAATTCTTGTGTCATAGTTTTAGTGTTTATACTCCTCCAAAACGGCTTCACCGAGTTCGATAAAAATTTTATTTGTAGGTATGAGAATAGATTTATAACTAATTATTATCCCACTAAGTGTTAAGGATGATTCCTAAAAATCTTTTTTTTTATTTTTTCGACAAAACTTTTAGTGTGGCATTACAAAATACATTCAGTCCTAAACTTTCACCCTTCTAATACCAACCTCTACTTTTAAATAGCATTTTATATTTTTGAACCCCAGTCATATGGCAAAACAACGTTAGCCGGGTCAGCTAGTGTGAGTATGAAACTTTGAATGCTGTTTATTTATAACCAATTCTCAATCGACAGATGGCGCTATTGCCATTATCTCGTTACGATCGCGGGGAGGATCCTCGAGTAATAGCCGAGCCGAGGGCCGCATGGTGGGCGAGTAAGTCTATTGTTAACTTAAAACAGCACCCACTTGCGCAGGTGTCGCAGCACCAGGCGCAGCATGCGGCGGTTGTCGGGCGGCAGCGCCAGCAGCAGCGCGTGCAGCGCCGCCACGCGCTCCTCGCGCCGCTCGCGCTCTGCGGGAACGGGCGCGGACGTTAGTCGTCTAAGACCCTCAGGCTCGAATCGCACGGGCATTTATCCCATTTATCCGGAGGGGGCTCACTGGCGGCGGCGAGGAACTGGTCGTGCAGGCGCCTGGTGAGCAGCGGCTCGGGCAGCGCGCGCAGGTAGCTCTTGAGGGCCGAGGTGAGCGTCTTGCTCTCGCAGTCGGCCGGCTCGGCCAGCTCGGCCGGCACGCCGCCCCGTGCTGCCGCCACCAGCCGCGCCACCTTCGACGCCACGCCCGCCACCCTGCAGCGGGAGGGGCAAACTGTTAGCAGGTTTACGGGGCTCTTTCGCGGTCTGTCCCTTGACGAAGTCAAATGTGATTCCAATGGGAAGCGATTGGCCGTATAATATAATATTCACTTCAGCTTTCTAGCGGAGAGAGCTGAGGCCATTGGGTCCGTGTGTAGTGTATATCTAATTTTTTTTGGGGGTTCACGTGCATTCTCCATTTCCAACCTCTCTAGTGAACGCCCGCAGTGAAGAAGTGGCTCGTAAAAAAGAAACTTGCTTTAAATTTTGAATTGACTGATTCGGGAAACGATTTACGATTTAACAAGACTTGAACGGTGTGAACAAGCCCGTCCGGCGTGTTAGCAGTTAATAACTTTTAGGGTGGGCCGCTATAGCAAACTTTATCGAATGCCTTTGCGCCATCGAAGGAGACAGATTGTACTTTACCAAGCGAAAGACTTATTCGGGACGGTACGATTCCCGAGTGATTCGGTCGGAAACCGCATCACGTGGGATGATAAGGTCGTTTGAGTAAACATAGTGTTGTAAATACGTTCGTCACTTGAGGTGGGTGGTCGCATTTTCCTTCTGAATATGTTTATCGTCCCAATTACCTGTAGAGGCCCTGCTCCTCGAGGCCCCTCGCCTCCAGCACGGCGATGAGGCGGCGTACGAAGGCGAAGCCCGCCTCGTCGAGCGCGCACACGGCGTCGTCTGGGCGCGGGAGGGGCGGGTGGGGCGGGTGGGGCGGGAGGGGCGCGGGAGGGGCGGGCGCGGCGTCGAGCGCGCGCAGCCAGGCGTTGCGGTCGCGCTCGCCGAGCGCCTGCAGCGTGAGCGGCGCGCGCTCCCGCTCCGCCGGCACGGCCTCCCAGCAGAAGCGCCGCTCCGCCTCGCAGGAGGCGCGCCCGCCGCACACGCACACGCACTCCGCCGGCCCGCTCTGAGGACGAGGCCGAGGGCGTGGGCTCGGTTGTCGCACGAGACGACTATTCGTGCGACACGCAGATGGTTGTTTGCCATCTGGGCCTTTGTCCGCATGAAATGTATGTGTGTAAAATGTCCTTGCAACAGAACAAGGACGCAAGTTTTCAAAGGGAAAACTGCAACAGACCTTCTCGATCTGGTGATTGATAACACTTACTACTCAACCCCTTCCGCACATCACTCACCGTCTTCACGTTGATCTGGTTGTACGGCATCAGCGACAGCATCCGCGACTCCTTCTCGTACGAGCAGTACTGCTTGCTCCACGTCGTGCCGAACGCCTCTGCGAACGCGACGTGCACATTTCACACGCTAATCTCAAACCGATCAAGATCTATCACTCACACTATCATATTAATTTTGTACTCACTCTTCTCCATTAGGAACAGGTATCCAGCGCGCGATACGCCACCGCCCTCCTCCGATATCTCCTCCTCTTTATGCTGGAACAAACGACGTCTATGAGTACACATGCTGTGAAGCTATGCTTCGCTTTGCTAGCATAAATTTATTGCTTACAGTTAAATAGCAGAACATACATTTTAACAATAAATCAATATTTATTAGAAACATAAAAAAAGATTAAATTTCCTCATAAGCATGCTAAAGTAATGTGAGGAAAAGAAATACGCTCTTCGTTTGAGTCAATATTTACTAAAATTTTCAAAGTTCAATTAAACGACGACTATCTGGCATATTCCCAATTTGAAAATCTCGTAAGTCGTAGTATTACCATTAATCATGAAATTTATCGCACACTCACCATCTGTCGCACCTCCATCATTTTCTTCATGAGCGACTCGGTCTGTTTGCTCGTCTCCTCGAAGTTGCTCCGCGTCTGCAAAGGCGAGCGTCACGTCACCACACGCACACAGCCACGGCAACGGACGCACACAACATGCGACACACTCACACGCAATCTTTGTCACTCTCAGCTCATGTTGCGTTGTTATTGGAAGTGATAAAGTTAGTAGTATGTTGTTCAGCTCCAAACGTTTCATTGGCTAGTGAGTCACTTCAAATCAAACGTAACAATGATTAGTGGTCAACGTTAAGGTCAAGCGGCGAAAACGCAAACGAAAAAGTTGTGGGCACCTACGAGTTGGGAAGTGGGCTTGAGGCGCGGCGGGATTTCCACGCGAGACCTGCAGGTTCATACATGTTCATAGTTGAAATCTGAAGGTCAAGACGGGACTTTAGGGTTTGCAGCTCAGGGGTTGGGACCCTAGTGCTGTATACTGTAATACCACATAACGGATTTCCGTATAACAGTTTAGTTAACCCGTTTAGTATTCTCATATTCTTTTATGTGAGAAGATGGCGAGCGGGCTGGCGGTTCACCTGATGTTAAGCGATAACCGCCGCCCATTCACATTTGCAACAACCGCAGGGTTGCAAATGCCTTGCAGCTCTTTAATAATATGTGCCCGCTCTTAACCTCACTCAACGGACGAAACGCAGAGGTATAACAACACTTCACACCGGTCCTCTGTGAGGTCATGGTACTTACCCGGACGGACCTATTTTTTCTTTTTTTTCGTGGGAAAAATGAAGAAAAAAAAGGATGGATCCTTTATGGTTCGGGGGAGTGGCATTAGTATGTGGGAGAACGGGTATCCACAAAAAACCCACAATCACCACTCTCTGTGGCATCAGCCGGGGACACAGGAACAAGTAGACGCAATCTTACGCGACACCCCGGACGGACCTGACCATTTGTGCAACAGCGAACGGTTGCACGGTCCTACCATGGGTTACGGGTTCTTCAGATTTTGTGAGTAAAAAATCAACTGTCTCATAATACCCGATGTACGGTTTGATTCTCAGGTTTTGTACGCTCGATGATACTTTCATCGCGTTTACTGTCCCCACCTATCCTAAAGGATTATACCATAAAAGGTTGAATAATTTGCTGGAGCTGTTTTCCCTCATTCGAGAACGGTACGCGACTGTACCCGCTGTATTCGCAGCTGCAGGTCCCGCACTAGGGGCTCGGCGTCCGCGTGCACGTCGTGAGCCGTGTGGTGGAAGGTCCACCAGCCGAACACGAAGCCCAGCAGCGTTTCGACCAGCTCGAACTTCTTGCGCTCCTGTACCGCCTGCAGCTGGAAAACGTACTCGAGCGACGCCTGGCAGAAGTCGCGCTCCGCCATGTCCATTGCGGCGTCCGCCTGGAACGAAATCGTGCGCGGGTTACCGCAAGGGCCGTGCACTGGACCACAACTCTTTCTGCCTCCCCATTTCGGTTTCTTCTACTTACCTCTTGAAACACGGCCTCGGGCTTCTTTGTGGAGAGCGAGAGCGTCCGCTCCTGACTTTGGCAGAATTTGGCAGTCTTCTTGTCGAACTTCTTCTTCCCCTCCTGAAAGGTATAGCTCACTTTGAAAAACTTTATCGTGCTATAACCAATCAAACATTTAAATATACGTACTCTACAAATCAAATGGTCAGAGAAGAAGAAATCCGTTACATTGAATAATTGATTGTGATGCGACAACAATGCGCCGCAACAGTTACGGAGTGTGCTGAATCAATTCAATCGAGTCAATTGAAAAATATGTGACAATTGGCACGCTTGCAAAGTTGCATTCGTTTATCGTTATGGTTAGACTGCAGTCTTTAGTTAGAAAAACCGAGAATAATGTAATAAATTCTCACTTGTAATTTCGTTAGCAATGTAATTATAAGTAAAGAAGGCAGATGGGAATAAATGCACTAATGACTTTCATTACAGTTAAAAATTAAAAAAAGGGTCACCTTATATTAATAAATTACCTCAGCTTTTGGAAACTTGCTCTAGCCTACTAGTTTAACCTAACCTGAGGGTTTACCTCCATTTTAAGACCAGGTACCAAACGAAAAGCAGAAATATAAATACAAAAAAGTTTAATGTGACTTTTTTTCTAGAATTTTTTGCAAAAATTGTGTACCATAAATATGAAATAGATAAAAAATAAACGAAAAATAATTATTTATATTCCCTTGATCCGTCTTCTTTAGATCCGTGCAGTTCTTAGTCCAAATTTATCTTTATTTTAATTGATTTAGTAATCCCCAGCTTTTAGTAATCAGCAGTATGTATTCGGCTTCAAGTGTTAATGTGACAAACTGCTCACCTTAACAGCACCAATATGCTCCTTGCGGAATCGCTCCAGGGGCTGAATGATTTGCTCGTGAGCGCGTCCTAGCTGCAATAAAAATACTCTTTTGTATACTAACTTGTAACTAAAAAGTCAAAAGTCTAAATTACATTATTCAATATATATATATATATAGGCTTATTTTCAAGAGCCATTACCACACGTCCTTGTCCTCAATGTATTCTTCGACATTATAATAGGCCCTTTCCATTAAGGTAGCTTTTACAAAATGTTTGCATAAATGTTTGCTGTCTTTATATCTTATTTGCTTTTACATAATGTAATTTAGTATTAGTGTCGGGGTGCCCGCCTTTAAATCAATATACTCAAACAAATCGATTGCTCGAGTTCGAATCCCGGCGCCGGCACTAAAGAAATGGTAAGTTGAATAAAAGTGCTGACTGTACCCGTGAGTGCACGAGATACTGTCTCAGCGGTGAAGGAAAAAGTCGTGAGGAAATAATAACAAAAAAAATTTCTCGAAGATGCGAAGTCTGCCAATCCGCGGTGAGGTTGAGTGGTGGACTATGTAAGGTACTAAGCACTGACAGAATAGTCTTTATGAAATCCACATTCAGCTAGCGATGGGCGTTGAATCAACGAACTAGTTGAATCAACCGTTGATCTCTTGTTAACGAATTAACTTTAACTGTCATTGAAATCAACTAGTTGAATTCGTTAACGTCGTTTCGGAAATTTTGTCGTTGAATCAATTCGTTTAAAAACGCAGTCAACGATACGTTAAGTCAACGGAACATAAGCGTAACGAATTGAAAACCTTACGATGAAAAAAACGTCACAGAGTTGAGTTGAAATGTTTGTTTAATTTTATGAAGGACATGTTTAAGTTCGCTTTCTTTATTTTTGTTTCACAGTTTGTGAATAGTTGCGCGCAAGGTTATAGAATATTTTGCGGCTTTGCATAAATATAATCAGAACTTTACTTCATGTTTAGTGGTTTTTTTTTTTTTTGAGAATTTGTTAATTTTTAATTAGTTATATTTGGAATTTTATTTTATGTCATTAGTTTTGTTTAAGTATCAGAATTTTACTTTCTGGTTACTGTTTTTTTTTATTTTAATTTATGATTATTTAAGTGTAACTTAATGTACCGTGGGTACAAAATTCAAAATAATTGAACGTATTAACAGTGAGTTATGGCTTCATACCTAAAAAGACAGTTCTAGCGGAAAAGCTGTTTGTAATGTATGCGAGGAGAAAATATGGAACAAATAGACCACTAACTTTAAAAAGTACTTGAAGCGGAAATATATTTAAATATTTTCATCTGTGTTTTTAGTACCAATCTTCAGCGTATGATGGTTGATTTTGATAAGAAAAAAAATTAGTTTCGAACAAAAGAAAAAAAATAATTCAGATTTGTTAGATTTATGCATAGATAGCTTTCATCCGTTTTCCCTAGTAGAAGAAAGGGCTTGCAATTTAACATACTTATGTATGTGTCACAATAACTAGTTGACGAATTTAACTAGTTGATCAACTAGTTGACGAACATGAATCAACGTTAACGTTAAGTTGAAGAAAATACCTTCAACGACCCATCGCTACATTCAGCTAAGTTCCCAAACAATTGTTTGCAAATATTTGTAGAATGAGGTAACTAAAAAGCTATATAAAAAGTTATCTATCCTTAATATTCTATAAAAAATTAGGTATGTAAAATTGCACGAACAATTGAGAATTGTCTCAGCACGAGCTAAATAAGATAGACGGCGATAAGTCAGTTGACCAAAAAAGGAAAACACTCAAGCCCCACAAAAAACTTCATTGCATAGAAATCTGTTACGCTTCACGCTACTCCATTCGAGCTGTTTGGAAGCTATGTGCTGTTACAAGACGACATTTGTTGACTATACAGATTCATATCTTGCATGTTTGCTGTAAACAAGAAAAACATACAAGCATCGAGGACTAAACGCGCCCATAAATTTAATGCATAGTTTTCCTGTTTGTCGCTTGGCAACTAATGGCAAAACTGACGTCGGATACCATAATAGTAGTATTGTAGTAGAACAGTTCGCGCCCAATATTTAATTTTTGCAAAACTTGTGCTTTGTGAAAGTTGTGTCAGGCAATCAACATCCAAAAAAGAAATTTCTTAATGTAGTTATAATTAAGGTTTATTAAGATTAAGATTTATTCTTCTTTTTCCTGCTCTCATCCCACCTAGCATGGTTGGCAAAAATGAGAAATTATGTTGCTGATGATACTAGGTAAGTATTTTTTAAAAATCTGCCCGACGTCAACTTCCCTTAGGAACAAACACCAAGAACCAGAGCAATCTTAAACCCAGCTGCAGTGAAATAATTTTAAGAATGTTTTCGATACACAAAAAACAAATGCAAAACAACTTGTGTCTATGAATATTCATGACACAGAACGTGGTCTGCTCATCCACACTCCATATGCGGAGATGTTAACATGGCTCCCTCCTAAATAGGGAAATCGGGAGGGAATAGGGAGGTGGGGGAGGGGGGTGCGTGCCGTCTCGAGTGCTCCCCTCTCATTATAGTCATTAATGCAACGGCGCGGGCCCGCCGATACGGGATGAGTGGGTGAGTCAAATGCCTTAATATCGTAAACATCGTTAAGACCAACGTAGCGTGATCTGATAAAATCCCATGTATACAAACGAGAAGCAAAGCCATGTGTATTGATACATAGCAAAGGATTACTTTAGCAAGGGTCATGTAACATTTGAAATGTTTACAAATTTTTGTCGATACTGTACGGGATAAATAAAAATTCATATATATAAATAAATAATTTCATTCCGGCGAGGTCGCCACATATTATCAAAAAACCGCCAGGAGCGTATCGGATTCGCGCAAGAACGGTTTCTTTTTATTTTTTTATTTTTTATGTGAAAAAGTGCCAAACGAGCTGGCGGTTCACCTGATGTTAAGTGATGGCCGCCGCCCATTAGCAACATTAGCAACACCCAGAGGGTTGCAAATGCATTGCCACATTTAAATAAAGTGGGCCCGGCTACCTCAATCACCACACGAAACGCAGAAGAGTAATACTTCTACTTTACGCCGGTCTTCTGTAAGGTCCTGCCGATTCGTGCATAAAAAATCATGTCTGTTGTATGGGAGCCCCACTTAAATTACGTTAGTGCATAATAACTAACAGCAATGTAAAACTAGGGAGAGTTGAGACTTCGTAGTTTTACATTGCTATTCATAAATTAAATTCATAATATTAGGCGGACCAACTTTGAGACCAACAAACAATATTATGCTCATTGCAATCCATGTTATCAGCATATGCAGCGAATTGACAAATGAGTCTGCTTCGTAACAAAGCAAAGGACGTCACGCACGCATAAACATTATTTTTTTTAATCAAACATTATTTGGAGGAAAGAATTCAAATGTATGAAGACGTATGAAGACCTGGTCCCAAAAATTCGATAACTTCAATTGACATTTTGTGACCGCACTCAGGAATATTTGTAACGAACTGGTCAATACTTGACTAAGATCTTAAACCACGGCAAAGTGATACAACGTTAGTGTGATGATGTAGATATTGTATATTATATAATCAGAAGTCTAACATTTAATTACAGTCCTATAAATACTCTTTCACTCGAGTATAAAGTTATTTTGCCATTTATGGTGACCATTTTGTTGTAATCGATTCGACGCAATATTCACACATACTGATCTGCTAAAATAAGGAAGTCTGAAGCATTATCAATTCACCACACTTAAATAATTCCAATCGATTATCGCTTATCGTTATCTGGAAGAAATTACTAAGATTGATCACGACCAACAAGTTTTTGTTGAAATATATTGTAAATACATATTTGCAGTTTCTGTTTCCCATCGAATTACGTGAGCATTAAACATTTAATAATTTGATAGGGTTTTAAAATCATCGTAATGAACCACAGAGCAAATCCGGCGTGCGCGATCGACGGCGGGGGGAAATGGGCGCATCGTTAATGGAATCACGTTAACATGTAAATTCACCACAACTGGTTTTTACGCTCGTGGAAAGCTCCGAAATTTCTTTTGGAAAATCAAATACAACATTTATAATAAGTCAAACCGTTCATCTATATGTATAAACGGGTAAGATTCCGATCAAAATCCTCACATTCGTTATTTTTAAGAAGAAGAAAGAGAATCGAAAGTGAACTGATGTTAAGTGGAAAAGAAAAAAGAGAACCGAATGTGTACTGAAATGTTACGTGACCCCATGTTGTGTCAGTTTTTAAATGTTTACCGTCAGGTAACAGGTGTAAGGTACACACAGGCACCTAAATATGCAACATCTGACGGCAACCATTTAAAAACTGAGACCCCGTTACCTCACTCGGCAGGCGAAACGCGAAATTATAATACTTCCACATCATGCCGGCCCTCTGTTAGTCCGTAGTGCTTCCCCGGACGGACCTGCCCATTGGTGCAACAGCAGGAGCTGCTGCGTGCCCTTCCGCCGCCCATGGATCCACGATCTTAAAGGGTATCTGCACCGTTTACTATTCTGTGGCTTTTTCAATACTTTTAAATTAAACTTTTTGATATTTAAAATTTTTATAGTGCTAACCTCCGCACTTAAGACTAAACATTAAAATTTGTAGAAAAAGTACGTCGGTGTGGCAATCAGCCGTTTAGCTTAATGGCTAAAGCGTCAGGCCGCGAATGCCGAAGACGCGGGTTCGATTGCCACAGCGGCGACAATCTTTTCAAACTTTAACTTTTTCATTACAAACTGACGAGTTCTTCTCTTCTATCTCAACTGATAATAAATCACGCACTAGTAGAGACATAGTTTACTTTAGTCCCGCCTAACTTTCTATTGCAGAAAATGAGACAATCATGAATCCCGAATGCAAATATACCTACGCGCCATTTGTGTGATAGCTGTCATTCAAATTTTGAACGTTATGGTTTGAATTTAATTGAAAAGGCACGGCCAAGAAAGCGGCGCGGCATCGATCTGAATGTGAAATTGATCCACAATGGGCCCTGGAGACATCCGTGCCCTCGCCGCCTAGTACCAATCACTGA